ACCCTGTCTATAACAAAAACACAAAAATTAGCCCAGCATGGTGGCACACACCTGTAATCCCAGCTACTCAGGAGGCTGAGGCAGGAGAATCACTTGAACCTGGGAGGCAGAGGTTGCAGTGAGCCGAGGCTGTGCCACTGCACTCCAGCCTGGGTGACAGAGAGAGACTCTGTCTCAATAATAATAATAATTAGGGCAACAGATTGGCAAGGCTGAGTCCTCCAAGCAGACTGACCCTTGAAGAGTTCAGAGAGGCACAAAAGGAAGTACCCTGGGTCTGAAGGACGGTGACTACCACTCTTACTGCATAGCTTGGGAACCACTAAAGTTATTCAGTATGCTTGGCTCTATATTACTTTGATTTTTTTTTTCCTTATCAGTCACTGGCTTTATTAGCTCATTTTCCATTTATTCAGTACTCCTTAGATGCTGTGGGTACCAAAATGAATGAGCCACAAATGTCGACCTTAACAAGATTGTAGTCTGTGCTTCCTATTGATGGTCCAAGATGTTCTCATCAAGAAAAATAGCTCTCTTTGTCTGTGTTATAGCTGAGAATATTGTACCTAAGTAGGAGATGTTTTTCTCTTGGGAACAAACATGTCTCACAGTATAACTAGCACAGAATTACAGTAACAAGTTTACTCAACAGTAAGAACCGTATTTACCACGTATTCAGTGGTTGTTACGAGATGCTGGTAAACGTATTCTTGGAACAGCTTAAGTTTCCAGTTTTCCTGCAGCACAGCACGGCTTCCTACAACTGCAGGCTACTTCTGGTCCTTTGCCAGCCCAGCGCTTTTCAACTTAATGTTTCACTCTAGCAATAACTTCCTAACTGACCTTCCTTCTCTCTCCAAGCTATCACATATAACGTCTACAGACTAATACTCTGATTTCATCCTGCCATTAATCTGATCAGAAAATTCCAGAGAGTGCCCATTTCCTGTAAACTCTTATGACTAGACAGAAACTCTCCCCATGCTATGCCTCTCCTTCCTTATCCAATCCCACCTCTTACTACTCCAAGTTGGTTGTACCTCAAACATCTAGAGCTTTGTTGACTCTCTATTTGCTCCTGCAGTTCTTCCTGTTGGAAAGCCTTTCCCTCCTACCTTCATATGCCCACTTCAAGTTCAGCTTAAATTCAGCTCCTTGCTTCTGAAACTTTCCCCAATTGCTATTGCTCACATCAATTTTCTGAAATTAGTGTCTACTGTAGCATAGTTCTTTAGGACTTAATCCCATACTGATTTGGTTGTTATTTAACTGATTCCCCTTGCAACTTCTTTTTCCAGCTACATTTTAAACTACCCAGAGAAAAGAAGCTCACTTTAAAAGTTGCCTGTGTCTCCTCCTAGTTTTAGGCAATTGTTATGCATACATTTGATGCTCAATACTTATGTAAGAAACAGTTGTGGAATGAATGAATTACCACTGACTCCAAGCATGATTTCCCCCCTCTTTGCTTTATAGCTGGTGCCTGCCTTCTTAAGTCCTTAAGTCCTGTGTTTATCCATCTCAATGTTTTTGAAACCTTCTAACCACAACCAATGGGAAGAAATTGCTTTTATAATGTGACCTGATGTACATGTGTATGAAAATTCTACAAAAGACACGTAAGTACTTACTCTGTGGGATGTATTCTGATGCTTTCTATTCTATTTTTTTAAATACAGATCATGACACACTAAATTGATTTCACCACCACTAAGGGATTATAATTATAGTATTGTTGGGGATCAGAAATTGAAATACCCTAGCTTGAGCTTGGCTATAATGAATACATTTTAAGCAATCCTGCCAACTCCATTTTGCCCACCCTGAGCTATGTTTGCCCACCCTGAGTTATGTAGGGCATTCTCTTCCCAAAGCTTGCAGTCTGAGACAACTGGCATCTTTGTAACCAATTTTCTGAGAAACAGGGCCCACCAGTCCTGCACATCCTGTATCTGTAACGGTGTAACTGCTACCCCACACTGCTACCCCACATCCTGAGTAAAAAAACAATTTTAAGTAGAACTTTTTGATAGGCCCCCCTTCTCCCCTAACCTGATCCTTCTGCTTCTGTAATAATCTGCTTACCACCCCTTGACCCTAAACTGGTATAAAAATGTGGAACGCCCTTTGTTCTTGGCTGAGGGGTTTGAGCTCTAGGTGACTCTCGGACGGCATAAAGGTGGACTCTCAGCAAACTCAGTGCGTGGCGCCTCTATTTAAACTCACTCGGGTATAACAAAATCAATATCCCAAAGACAGTGTTTTGACATGCTTTACTGAAGAAGCCTAAAAACCTCTCTGGCCTCCCGTCCTTGCCCCACCATGTCTCCCAAAGCACATGATGAAGCTCAAGTTCCTTTATCTGCATAAGATCTGGACCCACCAAAAGGAACAATTGTTTTTCCTTCCCCTTCCTGTAAGACCACGAATGTAACCACACCTAAATAGATCTTTTGACAAAATAACATACAAGTTAATTTCTGTTCCCTGATCCAATCATCTTTCCTAATAACTTCCTCAACAGAATTCCCCTTCTCCCTACTCCCATAACCTATTTTGCCAGGATAGTATACAAGCTTGTGAACCACATGAGGGGGTTGGCAATCACTCTATGATTCTTCTCATGTGCACACTGTGTGCACATTAAATTTATGTGACTTTTCTCTAATTAATCTGCCTTTTGCAAGTTGATTTTTTGGCAAATCTTTGGAGGGTCAACGGGAAAGCTTTCCCTTGACCCCTACAGTATAAAAACTGTCTCCTTGGCTGGGCAGGGTGGCTCATGCCTGTAATCCCAGCACTTTAGGAGGCCAAGGCGGGCAGACCACTAGGTCAGGAGTTTGAGACCAGCCTGACCAACATGGTGAAACCTCATCTCTACTAAAACCAGAAAAATTATTTGGGCAGAGTGGCGCATGCCTGTAATCCCAGCTACTCAGGAGGCTGAGGCAGGAGAATCGCTAAAACTCCAGGGGCGGAGGGAGGTTGCAGTGAGCTGAGATCGTACCACTGCACTGCAGCCTGGGTGACAGAGTGAGACTCTGTCTCAAAAACAAAAAACAAAAAACCAAAATGGGGTCTCCTAGCTTATGCTCTTTGTATTAACTTGAGGTGTATAGGGCTGCTCTTGTATAATGCTTAAAATACTACTTGTGCTGCTCATTCTGTTCCTGACAGGTTGAGCTTCAATTTGATCGTTACATATTTAACTTGAGATTACTTCTTACTATATTCCATCAGAGCACTAGCAATCAACCCCTTCCCCCAACTTCTTCCTTTTGAAATTTGGGGCACAATTAAATAATGATACACAAAGTGTTCTCCAGATTGCTATGTCTTATGTTATCTTGAAGAATTTTAGTGGCATATAAGTAAAAATTTCCAGGCCGAATTTGTGATTAGATCATTTGCAGATGAATAAAAGTAGGCATGGCCATATTTTTGTTTCTTGACATAGCTTAAGAACATGAGCATCATTGCTTGACAATCTAGAAGCTGAATCCCAGCTTTGCCAAATTACTTAGTGTGAACCTCCATTTCTGCATCTATGTAAAATAGGAATAATCATAATTACTTCAAGGGATGGACTGGAGTTAAATGACAGCATACAAGTAAAGAACCTGATGCAGGACCTGGGTGCTCCATGAATGGACCAGTGCTCCATGAATGGTAGTGAGGTTTTATTACTAAATGTATCTCAAACTTCCTTTAGGATTATAAAGTAGGGTTTAGTCATAAGAATAAAAGATGACTTTTCAAAGATCTAGTATTTTTTGAAGTTGGATGGTTTATAATATAAAATTCCGTGTTGGTTTTATAGATCACAAATATCCCCAAAGAAAGGTTCTACTTGTGGTGCTGGATAAGCATTATATAATAAGAAATGTCTACTGAAACTAGAAGCTTCAGGATCATATGCAACGACTTGCCTAGTCAAGCAAATTTCATTTGGAATTGTTCTTGCTTAATTTTTTTTTTTTAAACCACAAACGTCTATTGGTGAAGTGCGCTTCAATTCAGCAAAAATACAGCCCTCAATCCATACACATAACGCAGTATGTATACGGGGCTGCATTTAAACAACGCCAAACCTTTAAAGTCCAAGCCTCGTTCCAGTTGCTTGTATATTCCTTCTGAGCTTGTCATCCCCACACTCGTTTAACCCAGGTCAAGTTACTTCTGAGGGTGTTTTTGATTGCAGAAGTTTGGCAGTTAACAGCAAGGAGCTGCCTTTTTATACAAATCACCCTCCCCTGAACCTGTCCGATTCAGCACACGACAAGACAGAATATGCCATCCAGTCTCCTGGAAACGGGTCCACGCTGTCCCGGGCTCAGGGCAGCTGCATCGCTTTCGAATCACTTAAGGGGTGTCATCAGGATTTCCCCAGCCCCGTCTCGTCTCCGCCGTCTGCTAAAGAGGAGGCCTGACAACTTGATGGAACCCAAACTGGGACCTCTGGAGATTAACTTCCAGTCACATACGCTCAAGATGGTGCGTGTGCGCGTCAGGAGACGCGGGGACCAAAGACCCAGAGAGCCCGAAACGGACCCGCCACAGGAGGCAGCGACAGAGGAATCGGCCCCACGCTGCAGGCTCGGAGACGGCCAGACCCACACACGCGACTTCATCCCACCCCACAACCCGGAGAGGGTGGCAGCGGACAGAAACAGCGTTCCGGAGCCCGGCACCCTTCCGCGCTCGCTTCTTCTCGGACCTACAACGCCGACCCCCGGCTCCGAACGGCGGCGAGGCGCTCCCGGCCCCCTGCGTCCGCGCTCCCGGCCCCCTGCGCCCGCGCTCCCGGCCCCCTGCGCCCGCGCTCCCGGCCCCCTGCGCCCGCGCTCCCGGCCCCCTGCGCCCGCGCTCCCGGCCCCTTGCGTCCGCGCACCCGCTTTCGTCACGTCCGGGGGCGGGCCGGGGCCCCGGGGGCGGGCCCGGGTGGGGCCGGGGGCCGAGCGGGGCGGGGGTGGGGTTGCGGGGTGCTTCGTGTGACAATAATGAAGGTGGCTGCTGCGCGGCGGGAGGCTCAGCTGCGCCGGGCGGGGGCGGCGCCGGGGCCGCGCCTGTAGGACTCGGGGCCGGCGCCGCGGGATGGGGACGCGGCGCGGGGAGTGAGGCGGTGGCGGCCGCAAGCGGAACTTCGGCCCGAGAGACTCGCCCGCTGCCGCTTGTGTCCGGTCGGCCTCCACCTGCAGCCCCGCGGCCCCCGCGCCCCGCGGGACCGGGACGGCGACGACGGGGGAATGTGGCGCTGGGTCCGGCAGCAGCTGGTAGGTGCCCCCTTCCTGGGCCCCCGCGCGGCCTCTCAGCGCGGGGTGGCGGGGACGGGCCGGCGCCGCCGAGCGCGGAGTCCAGGGCGCGGGCGCCCGGCTAGGCCGCGGCGGGGACGGGCGCGGGGCCCAGGGCCGGAGAAGCCCCGTGCAGCCCCGCGCTCGTCTCGCCTCCAAGCCCATGCCGCCGAGGTTGGCGGGAGGCGGCCGCTTCCTCCCGGAGCTTCTCCGTTACTTGCTCCCCCGGCCGCTCCGGGGGAGCGGGAGTCCCGAGGCGGGAGCCCCGAGCCGGGTGGCGGCGCCCCCTGAGGAAACGGGGCGCGGGAGCAGAGCGAGCGGAGGGCTGTGGGGAGGAGAGAGGCGCGCGTCCTACCTGGCGCGATTTGGGACGTGTTTGGGTGAAGGGGAGAGAAGAACCTGCCTTCTGCCCCCGCTCGTCACGGACTTGGGGAAGCGGGTCACGGCTCCGAGCTGGGTCGATTCCTGGGGAGGAGCGGCCTCCGCTACGTGACTGTAACCCCCTCGGCGACAGACAGGTCTCCCCCGGGCCTGGGAACGGGAAAGGAGGACTGTCCGGGTCCAGCTTCGGAAACGAAACTTACTAATTATGAACGCTGCTTGCTGGGGTTTGCTTCCGACCTCGTCCTCACCCCACCCCCGTGAAACTTTTCCAGTGGGAACCTTTTTTCCCCTTCTCCTCAAGGCACTTTGAACGAGACAGGTTTGGAAGGAATTGTTAACTTTCCAGTATTACTGGAACATCTGGACACCAGCAACAAAACATTTTGGAAAAGAGTGATTTGAGGCCTATAAAAAGTGCCACCTTTCCCAGAATTAATTCAGAGAGAAAAATCTTCCCTGCCTCCTTGCAGCTGCGGCGCGGATATTGCAACACTGAGGCAGCTGTGACAATTAGGACTGAAATTGCTCCTGGCTGGAGAAGCCTAACCTTATCTGTGTGGTGAGGTCGGCTACTATTTAATTTCTAAGTCGCATTAACTTAATGCTTCTACAATGCAGTGTTTTCATTTGCTCATTTTAAAGGCAGTGGTAACATTTAGTGAAGAAGAAACTGTGGGACCAAAGCATTGATACCTCTTTTTCCCTTCTGCCCTAGGAAAGCATTTTAACGTTAAGTCTAAGCAGAATGGGATTTCAGAGGCAGTCTTCTGTTACTTCGTTTTGCAATGGGCATCATTCTCCAAAAAAAAAAAAAAAAAAAAAAAAAAATATATATATATATATATATATATGTAGAGAGAGAGAGAACTGCCCACCACTCCCTCCTACAATTGTGGGCTATTTTTAGCCTTGTAAATTCAGATATCCCAGATACATGCTTTATTAGGAAACCAAGCTAATGATGTCATTAGAATACCATCTTGTAATACTTCGGCTTTGTTGCAGTAAGCCATAGCACGGTAATTTTACTCGGGAAGTTAATTGTTACAGATTTGCCTTATGCTTTTGATTTGCCAAATCTTCATGTGTCGAAGGCTGATGTACCTCATGGTGTTTTTGTGTGGTAGGAAGATCATTTTAAAGTGGTCCTCTTAAAGCTTTTTAAAATAGATTGAGACATCCTTTCTCACTGTTAAGGTATTTTCTAGCCAGAATAAAATCCTGGTTGTATAACCACACTCATCTTCAAGACAGAAAATCTGGTAAGTTTTTTAAAATGGCTTCAAATGAATACAGCTAAAAGGAAGGGCCGGAAGTTGTGTGTGGTTATTTTACAAGGCTGCCGTCTTACAGGATGGTTGACGAGTTGAACAAGTTGCTGTGCTTAAAAAATGCTATCTCTGACATTTAGCTGCTCACCTCACTGGTTTTAAGTTATCAGTTCCTTTCAGTACGTAATCATGCCTGGGCCAGTGTAGGATTTTGTGTCTCTGGTCATGTAAATTAAGCATCAAGGACAGTTGATACAGAGTAATGAAAGTATATTTTACTATACTAGGAATTACTCAACTCAAGAAAAATCTAGTTTAGATTATATTTCTGTTGGCTCAGTGGATTGAATCAACATGACTTTTAGCAATGGGTTTGTTTTAAAATTCAGATAAATAGGATAAATTTGGGGAAATTGACAAGTAAATCCTAAGGACAGGTTGAAGTTATAAGCATACTTAATTTGTTATATGAATCCTGATTTTCAATTAATGTCTCACAAAAAATTGTGTTATTACAGAAACAACGCCTATGCTCTAGTAATTTCTTTTTAATTAAAAAAAAAAATAGTGTGACTCCTTATCACAACAAAGCATTTTCACTACTTGAGAAGATGGAAAAAATCAGAAGGTTGACAGAAGCTTAATCTTTTCTATGGGGAAAGTGGACTGAAAACGAAAATATTGGAATATCCATTTCTTTTTTGTTCTTTGATTTTTAGCACACAATGTTAAAGTTATTTTACACTAAAAAAATTCTCTTATGGTGTCTTTGTGGTACAGTTAGAATTCAAAGTGAACACATTTTCAGTAGCATATTTTATGTATTAACTCATTAGAGATGACAACACCTTGATTATAATTGTGGAAATGCCGTTAGCTACTCACGGTATTCAAATATTTAGACCTGTTCAGTAGCTATTAGTGACATGTGGTCATTAAAATTAAAATTTGAACCACATGTCGCTATTAAAATTCGAATTCATGGGTCTGTTGGCTGCCATTGGCTATCAGATTAGTTCATATTTTCATTATCACCGAAAAGTCTATTGGGCAACACCAATTTAGACTTTTAAATAAAAGTCTGTGTCAGTACATATTTTAGTTGAATGTAATATTTCTGTACAGGACAATGTAATACTACATTTTTGAAGCACTTTGTGCTGATATTAAAATAATGCTGAATACTGGGGAGACAAATGTTGGTCAGGGCCACACTTACTCAACATGAGTAGACATGGGGTATGTGTTGCTGAACAGATCATATAGGTAAGGAAAGGATGAATCTGTAGTGTTTCTGTGTTTAGAGACAAAAGTGACAAATCAGGATCAACTAGCCTAGAAAAAAACTAGAAAATAATTATACAAAAATAATATGTCATACTGGGATAGCTGTTTCTTAAATTGTTTCATAAATGTAATCCCTTTAGATTGTATTGGCGATGGTGGTAGGAGGCTGCTGAGATTGTGTTCTGATTAACTGAGGAAAAGGAGAAGGGTCTTAATCTGAACTCCCTCAAGTTTCTGTTCTTTCTCACACTCACCAAACTTGCTTATACTGGTACTTAATTCTTCCCTTCTTTCCGTGCAGTCACAAGGAAGATGCAGCCCTCTTTTCCAGGATAACAAGTCTTCTTAAGCTTTTGATCCCTTTCTTCCATCCCGCTGCCCATACTCCATCGTTATCATTAGTATGTTTGTTCTCTTTCTCTTTCCCCTTTCCTTCAACCTGTGAACATGTTCAAGCCTCTCTCTGCTACCTTACTTTTTCCTGTACCTGAAACTGCCAAATTGTTCTTAATTTTGTAAAAAACAGATCGATAAAACTGCTGGCTATTATGTTTGAAATGTGGCTAGTTTAATTAGAGATATTCTTATGTATACAATACACATTGGATTTCAAAAATAGTATTAAAAAATGTGAAACCTGGCCGGGCACTGTGGTTCATGCCTATAATCCCAGCACTGTGGGAGGCCACGACAGGTGGATCACCTGAGGTGAAGGAGTTTGAGACCAGCCTGGCCAACATGGTGAAACCCCGTCTCTACTAAAAGTACAAAAATTAGCCCGGCGTGGTGGCAGGCGCCTGTAATCCCAGCTACTCAGGAGGCTGAAGCAGGAGAATTGCTTGAACCTGGGAGGCGATGGTTGCAGTGAGCCAAGATCACTGGACTCCAGCCTGGGCAACAGAATGAGACTCTGTCTCAAAAAAAAAAAAAAACACCCTCATTTTTTAATTAGCTACATGTTGAAATATTATAATATTTTGGATTTATAAGTAAAGTAAAATTTTAGAATTTTATGTTTCTTTTTACTTTTTTTTTTTAGGTGGTTAGTAGAAATTTTAAAGTTACCTGTGTGACTTGCATCTGTGACTCATGCTGTGTTTCCGTTAGTCCTGCTATATAACATTAAAAGTGAATTCCTGTATCCTAGTTAGCATAGTGAGATCCCATCTCTAGGAAAGGAAAAAAAATTAGTTGGATGTTGTGGTACTGACTTACAGTCTCAGCTACTTGGAAGGTTAAGGTGGAAGATGACTTGGGCCAGGGAGTTTGAGGCTACAGTGGTGAGCCATGACTGTACCACTGCACTCTAGCCTGGGTGACAGAGTGAGACCCTGTCTGAAAAGAATAGTGAGCTCATGTTTTTACAGAACACATTATGGAAGTCTAGAAATCTCACTAGAGTAGCCTGCCTGTAAATATCTTAGGATAAGAACCATGTCTTTGGCTGGGCGCAGTGACTCACGCCTGTAATCCAAGCACTTTGGAGGCCAAGGCGGGCGGATCACCTGAGGTCAGGAGTTCAAGACCAGCCTGACCAACATGGTGAAACCCCATCTTAAAACAAAAACAAAAACACGTCTTACTTGTATTTGAATTCCTTACACTCAAGGCAGCAGTTGGCCCATTGTAGGTATTCACCTGCCGGATGTTGGTTGAGTAAATGAATGAGTATCAGATCTAATTCAGCATCAGTTTGAAAATACCTGCATTCTTTGCCTCTTTTCCAAGGAATGAATGAATGAATGAATAGAAAAAGGAAGCACTGGCCTATGGTGGTATTGTTTTTTCTTTTGTGGATAAGTTTTAACCTCAAGAATTAATGTTTAAGAACCTAAATCTTTGAATATGTGCTGCTTTATCTCTATTTCAGACATATATTCTTCGATACCCAGTTTTGCATTTGGTTAGGAAGACTGTAAAGCATTAGAGGAATCTCAGGTGTTCCCAGCAACACTGAAGTAGGGACCTTGCTCCAGATCCTCTAAAGAGCCTGATGATTACCATTATTGTCATTAAATATTTTCTAGACCTATGCTATTC